CAAACGACGGGTTTTATTCCAGTCTGAAGCGAAGTGTTGATAAGATTCAATATGTCATGTCCAAAAGTTTCGAAAATTTGTTTCAGAATTTTGGCATTTAGGATTTAATAGGTTTATTATCTAATGAAGAAACAATATCACGTAATTCTCCTAAGGAGACCATTTTGAATTTAATTGAAGGCAAATAAAGATTAAAATCACGATTATACCACACTTCATCACTTTGAATACCTGGTTAATACTATTAACAAATTAATTGTTGAAATTTTCTACCAAGGATGTCTCTGCCTTAACAGATTAATGAAATGAAAGTATATTTAAGGCTAATTCCCTTTTTTTAGCATTGATCATAAAAATGGGCATCAGTCACAGCATCAGCGGTGGATCTAAGGGTCACAGCTGGTGAGAATTGCAAAAAAAGTTATGCTTCAAGTTTTCAAACCGTACTAAAATTCATGAGATGCTTTTTCAGATCATGCTAAATAATTATAATAAGATTGTATGGAAGATTGACAATTATACTTCAGTGACGTGTATCAAGCACTGAAATTCTTGAAGCTGAATTTTCATAATTTAAAAATATTAAAGTGAATCGTCAGTCGCATGTTTATCTAAAGTAAGAATATCAGTTATCATCATCAACATTCCGCAAGTGCTAACAATCTTCAAACTCACAAACGTTCAGCTGTCGGCGATTTTCACTTTCATTAACGATGAAAATCCCCATATTTTAAGTTGAAGCAGTGTTTTATTATGGTACATGAAATTACATTTTTCAAGTTACATCAGTATAATACTAATTGAAATTGAAACAAAGTATATTACTACTGGAGTTTTTTTCCCCAACACCAAATCGTTATTTTTACACCTCGACAAGTGAAAGATAAAACAGATATCTTCCTCTTGAAGATGATCACTTGGTGATCGAAACACGTGTCGAGGTGTAAAAATAACGATTTGGTGACAAGAAATACTCACTGAGTCATTGCTTTCACTCGGTCAATGATACATTTTTTCTTAAAAAAACAATCGTTTTCTTGCCCCCGTTTCGAATTTGATTAAATTCTTCTTCAGAGCTCGAAAATAGTTTCTTCGTGTTGATAATATTACTATCTTACAAACTATCATACATATTACATACATATTGGTGTTGTCTCGGAGATTTGGTTGTTGCAATGTTTTTTTATTTCTTTTAAATATGTATCTAATATATCTGATAGTTTTCAAAATAGTAGCTAATATCATGAACACGAAAAAAGTACTTTTCGAGCCATGAGGGAGAATTTAATTAAATTCGAAACGTCGGAAAGAAAGCAATTGTTTTTTCAAGAAAAAATTGATTCTGATACCCAATCAACCTCTCTTCAGGATTCTTCACAATGTCAAATAAATCCTATCTGATGTATCTTATCCAATGTTCAACAAAGAAAGCAGTACAGGGGCTAGTAGAGAGGTAGAAAATAAAGCAGAATAAAGGTATCAAGATCCTCAGCCTGGGCCATCCTGGCGATCTTAAGCATTATGCAGGCATTCAGCACATCTTTCGCCTTTTCTATACTTTTTTTTTCATGAGACTCAACTACTCTCACAACTCTTTTTTTTTGTGAAAACAATTTAAAACCTACACTATGCTACAAGTTTAGTCCAGCCTTGTCAATACATTTATATTGAGGTAAAAAGTATTGAACCAAACTTTTTTTGATCACTACACTTTCTCCTATAAATTATGCATGGAAAATTTCATCAATAATACCTAGTAACTATCAGTTGAAACAACTAAAAGTGTTGAGCGATTTATTCGAAGCCTCAAAAGTGACCCAGACTGGGGATTCAAATGAAATTTGATTTCAGGTATATAAAATTGATATTAAATTACCACCGCAAATAATAGACCTATAGGAATAACATTCAATGTTCGGAAGCTGAAATCGTGAGATGTGTAACGCAGGATTCGATACAGTATAAGCTTAACCTCTCTATGGCCTGGAATAATTACCGTAAGGTATTTGATACAATATCGCATGAGCTCATCTTGCATTTGCTCAAATGCCAATCTGTTTTATATGGGTGATCTTAAACTTCATGCCTCTGGAGAAAAAAGATCTGCATCAATCCTTGAAGATGGTGGAAGGGTTCACGCATGCTATCGATATGAAATTTGGGATATACTAATGTGAAACGATTCATCTGAAAAGAGAACGATGTGGGGATTACGGAAGGAATGTGCAGCTCGTAAATGGAAACATTTTGCACTTTCTAGATGCCGGAGAGACGTATACTTACTTCGGGGTGGAATAACGCCATTCACAAAAGGTAATAACAGTGAAGAACTCTCTCCGTGGCAAGTTTCAGCACAAAATATGGCACATCTGCTCATCGGATCTGACGGGAGAAATCAAAGTTGCTGCTAGGAATATGCTTGCAGTTCTAATATTACTCTACTCGTTAGTAGTAGTAAAATGTACGAAAGAGCAGCTGTATCAACTCTACATACATTTCCAAAAAATGAAGCATTCCCAAAGGAGTTTGCATTCCAAAGCGTCCGTTTCACGCTTGAACTCCATTCGACAAAAGGGAGGCAGTGAACTTTTGGGTTTGGAGTATCTACATGGCAGAATGGTACTGAATTAGGTGATCACAACTCTGTCACCTGCCAGTATGGTATTTTCAACACCTTAGGCTAGGAATAGAGGTACCTTACACCAGGTGCAGGGCCTGCTGCGAGGCACCTGAAACAATAATACACTTGCTGTCAACATGTCCAGCATATGCACTTTCAGCCTATATCCATCGACATAACTCGGCTCTAAAAGTACCAAATTTATTGGAACTATTTATTCCTCGCCCTAGTGCTCATACAAGCCTGATGTAGTTCTTTTCGACCATCAGAGCAAAACGATATTCGTCGTGGAGTCTTCGTTCGAAAAGAGAAGAAAAAACGGATGAAATATCTAGATTTTTTTTTCGAACGACCACTCTGTTGTTTCGATTGTTGAAGTCCTTGTTGGAATGATACCCTTTCTACTCAATATCTTGTCGGCTTGCAGCACGATAGCAGAAATATTGGTCAGACAAATGCAGAAGGCTGTCATTCTTGACTCATTGCTTCTGCTCAGGGCACATATTTTCGGACCCAATGATCACTTACCCCACGGTATAGGGAGTGGTCATTGCTAGGTCATTGCTCGCGCCTTCCCGACTGGGTCGGGGCTTCGAAGACAGGGCCCAACCAACTCACCTTTTCGGAAAAAATAATAATAATAACTTATTAATACTAAGATGGAGAAGTAGAAAGCCAAAAAGATTTTTCCCAGTTGAATTATTCAAACTGAAAATGTTAGACAAATCAAGGCTGCAATACACATTCGTATCATGAAAAATGAGAAATGAAACTGTCAATTTTTTGCCACTTTTTGCCACTGCAGTAACGTTAGTTACAAAAGTGGTAAAAAACATAGAAAGTTTCCTGATGATATACCACGTTGTAACAGCTACAAACATCAATTCACATTCGTATCAAGAAATGGAAACTTTACATTAGTATTCAACAGTAATTATTTATTAAATTTCAGCTTACGTGTATATATTCGCTGTCTTTCTCATGTTGCTTCTATTATAATAATTCGCTACTTCTCTGGGAATCGGAAACGCAAAACAGTACGGTTTAGTATTTTTCTTGGTGTCGACTAGGCAACTACAGGATTGAACAATTTTCGGGCACTCAACCTTCAAAAAAGGATTAACATGAATAACTTAGTCTGAAAAANAATATCATATTTATTGTATATTCTGATGAATAAATTATTATTATTATTAGTTAGTCAAAAGAAAAATTAACGGTAAATGGACGGAAAAGTGGGACCGATAGGTGGGAAACATCTGTTTACATGAAAACATCTCATAGGGTACACTATCGATCTATCAAGAAAAAAATCGTTAACGCACGTAATGATCTTGAATTTAGTTTCCTTGCAACACCAGAAGAACTCTCCAAAAGGACGTAGGTCACATTGAGGCTAACAACAGAATGGATATTCCAAAGATCTGCTCGTATATACACTTACCTTACACCAAAAGAGCATCAGAAATGATAAAAATAATTGTAAGTGAGTACAACATTACAATCTGTTTCTGATCCGCCACAACTTCAAGAATTGCGTTTACCTGATACACATGAAGACAACAAGTCTTACAAGGTGGAATCAAGGTCCAGTGAGAAGCAATTAACATATTGTCAACGTAACATCAGGTTCAGATGAAATAACACTGGTATGAAAGGAAGTTTGAAGAAGTTGGGGGGATCCGCAACGTGTGAAAACCTTCAGTCAAGCGTTGAAACAAGCTGAAGTGAACTGATCCGAAAAAGCGTGCTATCCGAAAGGATAGCATGTGAATTTTTCAGTTCAATTAACGTTTTCAATGCTTTATAAATTTATCTTCTTTTAGTTTTCAACTTTGTTAACACTTCTCTAGCCGGTGGTACCTAATCGGAAACCTCCAATAATTAACCACATTCAAATAAGATTCAAGATCTGAATTTCTGTTTCACTAACTCTATTGACCTATTGCTATAAATAAAAGAAGTACATATAATTATTGTTTTCATGTAAATTTTGAGTACTTACTTTTTGTTCAGGTCCTGAGCAAATATCGTATTTCTCGGAAATCTGTTCTGAAAGTTTGGAAAGTACATCTTCCAATACGGCAATGCACTCTCAAATAAATTCATCAGGCTTAGCAGTTGAACACTGTTACTCAACGAATGAAGATCAAAATTTAAATCTATAATTCGTAGTAACAAAAGAAGATGTAAAGATTTTCAAATCAAACTAAGTCAGTAATATAAAAGCTGTATTGATTCATAGTAAGTACTATCACATGTTTGAGATTGTTTCAATTATTTCAATTCTTCCATATTCGGTACCAGAACAAGTAATGGTAGCCCTTCTCAATCATCAAGCCGTCAACACCTGGAACAGAAAGTAACAGTTTCATTTCTTGCAACAGATGACACTGATGATACAAAACTACACCTTGGTTTGAATTGAAACAGAAAGTTAATAGATATATGGAAAAAAAATTAATCTTCGGAGAGAAAAGTAAGAGAATGAAATAATTCAACTGTCCGGGAAATTGATTATATTCAATATATTTTTAAACAATACACATTGACTTTATTTTGGACCTTTCTGCACAAACTCAATTCAGAGAATACTAAATGTGATGGAATTTTTAATTACTATTTCAATAAAGATGACAGCTCTAACAGATTACAACACTTGAATCTGTCATCAAGTGAGAAAAATATCTATTTAAAAAAAATAGTAAACATTTAAACAAACCAAACCTCGTTAGTGATTCCACCTCAATTGCCTCTTCAACTATACATTATTCATCTGTTTCAACAACAAAGTGCTTGCAATACGTCACAGACATAATTACCGAAAATACACTTACCGACTGGGGAGAGCAAGTCATCAGAAGGTGGACTGTTAGGATCGGGCATTTCTTTCAAATTGTATATGAACCAGAATATATTCTTAGCTTTATCTTCTTTATGACCTGCGATAGTGGTGATGTAATGTCCAAATGTTGATTCGGTGGCTTCAAAAGTAAAATATGGATCCTTTTTCATAGCCAATTGCATTACTTCATAGAAAGGTGTCCTCTTTGGTGCTGTTATGTTTATTGTTGCAGATTCTGTGATATCTGGGCCCACCCAGACTGTGTATGATATGGTAATATCAGAATATCTGGAATCTCCTTCGTTTGACGTTGCTTAACATATACTTATATGAAATAAAATATAGATTTGTATTGAAACTGATATGAAAATAAATGGAGCACTAGAAATAATTTTACTCAATAAATTCTAACTATTTTCAATTAAAGATAACGCGTGTGACTGAAACCTTGACATATAATGAATTCAACACAAATACTGCTCCCTACACCAGTGCAACACTTTTATCGACGCTCGTTTCTCTAACCGAAATGACATCATCAGGAGATAAACTGCGAAAGCAGTATTTGTGTTAGATTCAGATAAACTTCCCAGAATCATAAGATACATTGCCCTAAACATATATACACATTTGTAAATTTCGACATGAAAGTTTAACATACAAACTAATAATATTGACATAATGAAGTATATCTAACTGAGCAAAATGTTACACATTTCATTATTATTCACACTAATTGCAGTCAAAAACGAAAACTTACCGTAAAACTTCGTTCCTGCACTGAAGATGATCAAATTGAACAGTATCAAACTTAACAAATACATTCTGAACAAGCAAATGAACACAAATGAAAATCGAGTGTCGGATGACGATATTTTCACCTTATCAGCTCTCAATTATTTACGACACAATAATAAACAGAGCAAGGTTTATCTTCAGATTTACATATGTGGAATAAAGTAGTTTAGATACCTTCAATTTTTCGCAAGTCTTATAATTTCTATAATCAAACGTTCAATAGTTTTAGAGTCTTAGAATGTTGGTTATAGAGACCATTGCCAACCATTATTCATTAAATTGAGAATTTTACCGCTACCATTCTTACATCTGTTTTTATCTTCTTAAAATCCACAAGAAATCGAATTATTTAACAAAACATTCGGATATTATTTACAATACAAGGAATGCGAATATAATTTGCTCAACTCGTTTTAGACTAGATATGTAAATCGCAAAAAATTCCTCGGATCACATTCTGTATAGTATTGTAGCTGGTGATTTTAAAAAAATAGTTCCGTGCAATTCAAGAAATACTCACTGAGTCATTGCTTTCACTCGGTCAATGATACATTTTTTCTTAAAAAACAATCGTTTTCTTGCCCCCGTTTCGAATTTGATTTAATTCTTCTTCAGAGCTCGAAAATAGTTTCTTCGTGTTGATAATATTACTATTTTACAAACTATCATACATATTAGATACATATTGGTGTTGTCTCGGAGATTTGGTTGTTGCAATGTTTTTTAATTTCTTTTAAATATGTATCTAATATATCTAATAGTTTTCAAAATAGTACTTAATATCATGAACACGAAGAAAGTACTTTTCGAGCCATGAGGGAGAATTTAATTAAATTCGAAACGTCGGAAAGAAAACAATTGTTTTTTCAAGAAACAATTGATTCTGATACCCAATCAACCTCTCTTCAGGATTCTTCACAATGTGAAATAAATCCTATCTGATGTATCTTATCCAATTTTCAACGAAGAAAGCAGTACCTATAGGAATAACATTTAATGTTCGGAAGCTGAAATCGTCTATAAAATGAAACATTGGGTTCAAAAAATGTTTATTGACACACGCATTGGTCGGGGTAACAAAATGATTGATATAAAGTATTAATTTTTTGATTATATTAATGATAATTTATACACTCTTTCTCAGTTTCAGAAAAATCGGGAGTGTATAAATGATCATCTCCAATGTTTTATATAGGTCAAATTGGAAGAACATTTGAAGCCCGCATAAAGGGACACGGAAATAATTTCCAGAATGGAAAAATGAATTCCACATATCATATTCATTCAATCACAGAAGGATATGAGTTCAACCATAAATTCAAGCTCCTCCATTTACAGAAGAAAAATTTAAAAGTCAACCTGTTGGAGAGTATGGAAATGAATAAATTTAAGAACACTAAATATCTTATGGACTAGGGGATGTTAAAAACAAAAAAGTTCTGGATGAAATGAATTAGTGTGTTGAGATTCATCGTGTTGAAAGTGAATGAGATCGTCTTGCAAAATCATGTTAAGGGCCGCTTCAATTTGATTTTTCAACTTAGTCCATTATTTCTTCAAGCAGATTCAAGTAGTGGTCAATATTTAGATTTTTCTGATTAATAAAGATCCAATTATAGTATTCTTAAAAATACAAGCCCAAACGTTCACTTTCTCTGGATACTGTGTATGACATTCCCAAAATAGATGTGGATTTCCATTGCCCCAATAGCGATAATTTTGTTTGTTAACATGACAATTAAGAAAAAACGTATATAGACTCATCAGCAAAGCAAATATTGTGTAAAATATTTGATTTCTAATTTCACGAATTGAATTCTTTTGTCGAAATCTTCGTCATAAAGTTGTCTCAGCAAAACCAGTCAGTCGTTGCTGAAAAATAACTTTCGTCCTCGCAGTCAACGCACATACCATCGATGTTTTCTTCCGCATTAGCAGACGAAACGTTTGGTACTATAGGTTCTATTTGACTATGGCCTACTAGCCTGGATTTTGTTCTCTTTGATCTCGTAAATATGTTTGAAGATCGGTGAAAAAGGCATTCGGACCCCTGGAACTGACCTCCGAGGTCACCAGATTTAATATCGATGGATTTTTATTCATGGGGAACTCTTAAACAACGGGTATACCGAACTCCACTTGAATACGAAGTTAAAATCAAAAGCAGAGTGAGATATACAAAAAGCAACTACATATTTTATCATGTATATCGCATTTTGAAATATTTGAAGGTGAACGGACAACATTTTGAACAACTGCTCAAGGTACTGGGTTATCAAATGAGTACTTAATTTTAAGTTTCGGGTGATTGGCATAATTTGTTTGACCAATCTTCGAAACAGACAATTGCGGAAGCAGAAATTTGGGAAGCTCTTCCGGAAAGCCATCGGAAAACAAATCCACATGTTTCTGGAAACCACCAACGATTACATAAAAACTTGGCCAATAAACTTGGGTGTCACACCAATAAGTGGTTTCACTGATGAGTACAACTTTGCGAAAAACTCTGATTCCAACAGAAGAAAAGGTGGAAATTAAAAATGAAATCCCAAGCAGTAGCTCAGAAATGCACTATATTATAAATCCTTATGTTACGAGGGTGGTCCCAAGAGTACCCGGCCCAACAATGAAAACACACAAATTTTGAAAATAAAATTTAATTTTTCAACATAATCTCCTTGCCGCTCTATATTATTTTCCCAGCGACGTTCAATAACTTCGATACCGTTTTTATAATAAAAAGTGTCTTGCTTCTCACATTGAAAAATGTGGCGAATAAGGTACATGAGGTAGCAACTCAAACTTTATTTCGTTAATTTTGGTCATTATCCCACACGCATCCCAAAAACCCGATGCCATGATCCTGCCTGCAGATGAAACGGTCTTCGTCTTCTTTGGAGCCGGTTCTCAACTTTTGAGTCCACTGTTTTAATCGTTCTTTTGTCTCGGGTGTAAAGTGATGGACCCGTGTTTCAAGGCTGAACGGAGAGCAGCTGATTTCGGATTAGTTTTTCGCGAGGCGAATCATTCTCATCCCCAAAAACAGATTTTCATCAATACCTAAGAATTACAGACCGATAACAGGCTCAAATTCGTGATGTTATAAGTTGTTAACAAGCATCTTATACACACGAGCAGAGAGGGTCAAAGAGAGAAGTCGCTGGAAATGAAGAAAACCTGCACATCGATAGATGTGTAACGCAGGATTCGATACAGTATAAGCTTAACCTCTCTATGGCCTGGAATAATTACCGTAAGGTATTTGATACAATATCGCATGAGCTCATCTTGTATTTGCTCAAATGCCAATCTGTTTTATATGGGTGATCTTAAACTTCATGCCTCTGGAGAAAAAAGATCTGCATCAATCCTAGAAGATGGTGAAGGGTTCACGCATGCTATCGATATGAAATTTGGGATATACTAATGTGAAACGATTCATCTGAAAAGAGAACGATGTGGGGATTACGGAAGGAATGTGCAGCTTGTAAATGGAAACATTTTGCACTTTCTAGATGCCGGAGAGATGTATACTTACTTCGGGGTGGAATAACGCCATTCACAAAAGGTAATAACAGTGAAGAACTCTCTCCGCGGCAAGTATCATCACAAAATATGGCACATCTGTTCATCGGATCTGACGGGAGCAATCAAAGTTGCTGCTAGGAATATGCTTGCCGTTCTAATATTACTCTACTCGTTAGTAGTAGTAAAATGTACGAAAGAGCAATTGTATCAACTCTACATACATTTCCAAAAAATGAAGCATTCCCATAGGAGTTTGCATTCCAAAGCGTCCGTTTCACGCTTGAACTCCATTCGACAAAAGGGAGGCAGTGAACTTTTGGGTTTGGAGTATCTACATGGCAGAATGGTACTGAATGAGGTGATCACAACTCTGTCACCTTCCAGTATGGTATTTTCAACACCTTAGGCTACTCAGGAATAGAGGTACCTTACACCAGGTGCAGGGCCTGCTGCGAGGCACCTGAAACAATAATACACTTGCTGTCAACATGTCCAGCATATGCAGTTTCAGCCTATATTCATCGACATAACTCGGCTCTATTACCACCTATGGCACTTTTGAAGTATTGACGGAGAATTGTCGGAAATGAAAAGTACCAAATTTATTGGAACTATTTATTCCTCGCCCTAGTGCTCATCAGAGCAAAACGATATTCGTCGTGGAGTCTTCGTTCGAAAAGAGAAGAAAAAACGGATGAAATATCTAGATTTTTTTTTTTCGAATGACCACTCTGTTGTTTCGATTGTTGAAGTCCTTGTTGGAATGATACCCTTTCTACTCAATATCATGTCGGCTTGCAGCACGATGGTAGAAATATTGGTCAGACAAATGCAGAAGGCTGTCATTCTTGGCTCATTGCTTCTGCTCAGGGCACATATTTTCGGACCCAATGATCACTTACCCCAGGGTATAGGGAGTGGTCATTGCTAGGTCATTGCTCGCGCCTTCCCGACTGGGTCGGGGCTTCGAAGACAGGGCCCAACCAACTCACCTTTTCGGAAAAATAATAATAATAACTTATTAATACTAAGATGGAGAAGTAGAAAGCCAAAAAGATTTTACCCAGTTGAATTATTCAAACTGAAAATGTTGGACAAATCAAGGTTGCAATACACATTCGTATCATGAAAAATGAGAAATGAAACTGTCAATGTTTTGCCACTTTTATTTGTAACTAACGTTACTGCAGTTTCGTTATCGTTTGTAACGTCAGTTACAAAAGTGGTAAAAAACATAGAAAGTTTCCTGATGATATACCACGTTATAACGGCTACAAACATCAATTCACATTCGTATCAAGAAATGGAAACTTTACATTAGTATTCAACAGTAATTATTTATTAAATTTCAGCTTACGTGTATATATTCGCTGTCTTTCTCATGTTGCTTCTATTATAATAATTCGCTACTTCTCTGGGAATCGGAAACGCAAAACAGTACGGTTTAGTATTTTTCTTGGTGTCGACTAGGCAACTACAGGATTGAACAATTTTCGGGCACTCAACCTTCAAAAAAGGATTAACATGAATAACTTAGTCTGAAAAAAATTGACCGAAGTAAAACTTATTAAAGGTATTAAGTTATAACTTATCAAAGTGCATGTTTCCAATTGATTTCGATAAGGAATTATTAAATTTTTAATTGGTTCGACTGTATGTTGAAATCAGTAATATTCCAGTTAATCGATTGAAATGTTATTCTTTTAGGTTCTTTGTCTGAAGAACAGTTTCAATAACTTTTATAATAGATTTTTAAAGTACAGAAAATAGAGTCTAAAAAGTATATTTTTTCAATTTTTTTTTTCATTTTTGAATCGAACTGTGCTTATTTCACAACGACACTTCAAAAGTATCAAATAAATTTCACCCCCAATCATTTCAAAAAACGTTTTGTTCAAACTTTTTTCGATCTCAATATTTTTTACAAAATCACAGGACGTTGGATTTATTAAAAAAAAATAAAAATTATATGTTTTCTCGAAACGTTTTCGACAATCAATTGGATGGAAAAATATTAATTTCTTTGTCATGAAAAATACTTTAATTACAAGTTTTATCCATTGATGATGATGAAATGAAAAATGTCTATGAGACCGCAATCCAATCATGATTCCCAATTTCAAGTTTCAGTAATGAAAAGTTAAAGTTAAACATGAAATAATTTCTTCATATACATTTTTGTTCAGCTGAAATTTACAAGATATTCTCAATAGACACATCTGGCAAAGTATTCGAATTATTTATGATGCACTGTTTGGAACCTTTGGTGTAGTAATGAATATCACTGGAGTTTTTTCCCAACACCAAATCGTTATTTTTAACACTTCGACACGTGTCTCGATCACCAAGTGATTATCTTCAAAGAGGACGATTAAAACTAGAAACTAACGCGAAGCTTACCCTATTTATGCTATATAGATATCCCATACAGGTAAACCATCCAGGTGTACCACCCATACAGATATACCAACCTAAATTAATTTTACAATTTTTCCTTATCTATTATTTTAACAATAACTCAAAAATTTCATGGCATATTTGTTCGTTAAACCTTGAAATTCTCTTCAGAATTTTATGTTAATAATAAATGATTTAACACTCTATATTCCAAATTATTGATATTTTTGACTAACTTGACATACAATTTTACTCAAAACTTAAACATTTAATTTATTTCAATAGCTCAGTCTGCATATCAGTTCGATTTTCGTGCTCCATGTAAAAAACCCGTCTTCAAAATTTGTGAAACTTTGACTGTACTTGCAATAAAAGTTGCTGATTCGTAAGGTAATATCAGAAATCAATATATTTCCGTAGAAGAACTCAAAATAACATTACGAAGACCATGAATGAGAATCACAAAGTAAATCCACTTTTTATCAATATAGTCATTTTCAAATGGGTTTTGAAGAACTGAAACAATTCATAGCTGAGCAGAAAAAGATTATTTAGGAAAAGTATATGCAAAATAGTTGGAAAAACAATAGAAGAGGTTGATGATTTGAAAACTAAAAATCAAATACTTGAAAAAGCAGTGAGAGAAAATAATATATTAATATTCAATTCTGGATACGTACAAGGGGATCTAACAAGGTTTACTTTAGATTTGCTTAATACCAATTTGGAAGTGCAGCTAACAGAAAAAGAAATAAATAACGTCTACATTATAGAAAAAATACTCTTAATAAAATCGTTGCAGATTTATCTGAAGAAGAAAGAGCAGAAAGAAAAATTTTGAAGAAATATTTAATAGAAGCTAGAAGCAAAAGCAAAAAACACACATATTCTGTAAAAAATTGTCCATTGAAAGAGCAGACTACAAGGAGAGCAAAGGGGAGTAGGTTTACCTGATACACATAAAGACGATAAGTCTTACAAGGTGGAATCAAGGTCCAGTGAGAAGCAATTAACAGATTGTCAACGTAACATCAGATTCACATGAAATAACACTGGTATGAAAAGAAGTTTGAAGAAGCTGGGGAGATCCGCAACGTGTGAAAACCTTCAATCAAGCGTTGAAACAAGCTGAAGTGAACTGATCCGAAAAAGCGTGCTATCCGAAAGGATAGCATCTGAATTTTTCAGTTCCATTAACGTTTTCAATGCTTTATAAATTTATCTTCCTTTAGTTTTCAATTTTGTTAACAATTCTCTAGCCGGTGGTACCTAATCGGAAATCTCCAATAATTAACCACATTGTTATAAATAAAAGAAGTACATATAATTATTGTTTTCATGTAAATTTTGAGTACTTACTTTTTGTTCAGGTCCTGAGCAAATATCGTATTTCTCGGAATAATCAAAAGAAGATGTATTGTTTGGAGCAGCACCTCCTTTTTTAATGCATATACAACTCGGAGAAGATACAACACGACAAGGCCTGCAAGGTGGTGAATAAAATATTTCCAATTCTTCTACTATACTTTCATAACAATCATCGCAATATATTTCACCTTGAAAAATTTTTGCCGTGCATTTGTCCAATTTAGTATTGCAACAACCTGAAAGAGAATTGACTGCGGTTACTGGAAAATTTTGAGACTTTTGATGGAACGACGTTTTTTGTCAAACTGACAAGTTGTAATCACAAAGATATAACATGGCATTCTCGAGTGCGACGTATTAAAGAAATAAGTATTTCGGTTCTCACAATCACAGAAAATGTTTAAATAAGCCACGTACAATATCGAACATTTTGGAATACAAGCCATGTTTGAAATATGTGGAACAATATTATTGTTCTTACTGATGAAGGAGTTACGAAATAAAGCCTACAATAGAGTACCTCAAAAAAGGGGGCAAGTGGTGGCAAAAAATATCAACATCACAAAACATCTTCAGAAATCGATAGTCAATAATGTTAAAGTTCACAATTTTGTTTATAGCTGTGATTCTATATCATGACAGAGCACAAATTGCAATCTAGGTTGTGGTTTGAACCTTATGTATGTTGGCTATATTTAAGAAAGTGGATAAAACTATGCATACTGTAATATAGCTCAAAAGTTTATTAAAAAAATAATACTTCAAGATGGTATTGAAAACACAAAAATAGGGGGAAGATCTCAGTATGGTGTCTCAATACTTTTCAGCAATACTCTCAAGGGCATATACTTTTTCAAATGTTTTTGTCTGTAAAACTTCAAGTAGTTGGTTTTTGGTATAGTTATATTCAAAATANTTGTTCTAAGGCCAGTTATTCGAAATCTTTCATGGAAAAGTTTGCCACCGCCGAACTCAATGGACTGCTCATTGCGGTACCATCCGTTTGTTCGTAAAAAACACTATCCCACAATGAGCGCAGAGGACGATATATCCGCTGGGAATACTTCGCTAATTAGCCGTATTGTATTCTTAATCGGAACCATCGTGTATAAGGGACCACGTCGAAGCTCACTAGTATGTCTCCAGGACCTCTACTCTTTTCGATAAGGTGTCCGGAGTCCTTAATAAATGACTCTGTATTTCCTATGAATGGTTGCAGTATTTGCAGTATTTGGTCAAGTATTTGGCCGGCTCATAAGTTGATGAACCTACCCCATTTATGATAGGTCTAGGTGGATTTCTGTTAAGTCATTTAGACGTTGCATAAAGGCTTTGGATTTCTGTATTACTTTTTTGTGTTCTCTCCAGGACATGATGAACGGATAAGACGATTCGTTTTTCTCAAAATCCCGGCGATCGAGTCCGACTGACTCTTTTATATGTCTCTGGATCGAGTAAGACGACAATCTTCTCATTATAATCCTTGGCTAGAGCTATAGCAAAGTTTCCACCTTTGGCTCGTATGCCGCACTCGTCTTCTGACAGTTTCCGACCGGAGAGGTTAACCACTGTCTGTTGTACTATGTCTTCAAAAGGAATGGATACAGCGTAGGAGAATTCGAGCGAGCCATACGACCCAGGAGAGAGATCCCCAAAGTAACCCTAGCTGGGGTGAACAAGGAAAAAGCTTTCCTTCCCTATGGAAAAAATGTTATAGACCGGACTGGGAGAATCTTAAAGAAACACAACGTGAAACCAATATTTAGGCCAACAAAAACTATCAACCACGAAAAGAATCATGGGTACCCTGCTCTCGAAGACGAAAATCGTCTCGTCAAAGGGATCCAAAAAACCAACAGGCAACTCAGAGATGGCAGGTGTCCTCACCTCATCATCTAAGCATACTCATCCCTCGATCCCGGGAGAGGAAGGTGGAGGTGTCCTTAAGGACCCCCATCTCCTCCCTCCTAGGGTCGAGGAGTTCTAAGTTTGCGCAACACTTTGTTAACTTCAAGTGTTTGCAGGCAAACTTACAACATGTTAAGTCCGCTTCATACGTCCTTGGAAAAAACTTCAAGAATGGACTAATCGACCTTGCTTTCCTGCAGGAACCATGTACAGGAAATACAGGCTGAGTAACCGCACTGAGCAATATTCCTGGTGAGGTAATAGCGTGCCCTGGGGTGAAACCGAGAAGATGTCTGGTCATCAGGAATGGTATTAATTATTTTTTGCTTACAGGGTTCTGCACCCAAGACGTGGTAGCCATCCAAATTTCCCCTCTCGGGCAAGAAGGGTAAGACGAATTTTATCACCTGCTCCGCCTACTTTCCGGAATATTCGGATACCGTACCTACTCTAGCTGTTAGACGACTTACCGACTACAGCAAAAGGAACAAACTTCAAATTGTAATGGGATGTGACGCCAATTCACACCATACAGCCTGGGGCAGCACGAATATAAACCATAGAGGTGAGTTACTCTTTGATTATATTCTAGGGGAAGGGCTGTCTGTAATTAATAAGGACTCGGAACCAACTTTTGTCACTAGTAATAGGCAAGAGGTATTAGACTCAACCATGAGCTTTAATTCTCTGAGCAACAACATACACCATTGGTCTGTATCTACTGAACCTTCTTGTTCAGACCATAGATATATTCTCAATATTAAAATAAGTCTAAGACCGGTAGTTAAATATCGTGACTCAAAATCTACTGATTGGAGTGGGTATAAAAACTCCCTCTAATCGCACTTTGAGGACAGATTCATTACTATTCACAGTTGTAATGATATGGATACAATAGCGACGCAATTTCGCGAAGCAATGATCTCATCCTATCATGAGAGCTGTCCACTGAGGTTTGAAAGAGATAACTATAACTCTTCTTGGTGGAACAAAAGACTGAAAAAAAAAGAAGTTCGACGACTATTCAATAGAGCTAAAGAGTCAGGTAACTGGGAGCTTTATAAAACTACTCTAACGACATACAACAAGGAACTTAGAAAGGCAAAACGGGAGTCTTGGAAGAAGTTCTGTGAGAGTATCTCTGAATTCACAAATTCTCTCTAGAGAGCCGACTGCTGAAATTGGGTCGCTTAAAAGAACCGATGAAGCCTTCACGACCTCTAGTAAAGAAACGTTAGAGCTTTCGATAGAAAACCACTTTCCTGGAAATCTGACTCTTGATAACAACAGACCTCCCATCTTCGAGGGCGCTAAACGCCCAAAAAAGTACGATTGGGAGATCGCAAAGGAGGTTATCACAGCACCGGCAGTTGAATGGGCTATCAAGTCGTTTCAGCCCTTAATCTCCTGGAGAGGATGGTATATTTCCAGCTCTTCTTCAAAACGGACTGGAAATAATTTTACCTATTCTCACAAAATTGTATAGAGCTAGTCTGGCGTGGAACTATATACCACCCAGTTGGTTGGCTGCAAGGGTGGTATATATACCTAAAGTGGGTCGGAGAGACCCACACTCTAAATTGGTACGACCAATCAGCCTTACATCCTTCCTGTTGAAAGGACTTGAGAGGATACTGGACATACACATCAGGAGGGTAGCATTATATGCATCCCCCCTGAAACACCACCAGTATGCTTATCAAACCGGCAAATGGACAGATTCAGCGTTGAAAAACCTTGTAGAGAAAATCTCCCAATCCCTTGACAACAAAGAGATTGCGGTTGTTGTATTTCTTGATATTGAAGGAATATTTGACAATGCACTACCTAAATCTGTAGGATCGTCTCTGGCTAGGAAAGGTATACAATGGACCATAACTGGCTGGATCTATGCCATGCTGATAAACAGAACTGCAACTACGACTCTTCAAGGCGAGGCCATTAAGTTCGGGGTCAGCAGGGGCTGCCCCCAAGGTGGAGTACTACCCTTCAGTGGTCGCTCCTGATGGATAGTCTGCTTAATGCCCTCGACAGAAGAAAAGTAGATCTGCAAGCTTATGCAGATCACCTTGTCATCTTGGCAATGTCCACGCCGAGAAGGGTAGCTTGTAATATCCTCCAAAGCACCTTGGACGTTGTTCACAGTTGGTGCCTGAGGGAGCAGATGTCTGTCAACCCCAGCAAATCTGTGATAATCCTCTTCACTAGAACGAGAAAATTGGACGATCTAACGCCACTTTCCCTCAATGGTGAGGTCATTCCATTTGGAATGTAGGTCAAATATCTTGGCATTGCCCTTGATAAAAGACTCACCTGGAACGCTCACTTGGAAAAAGTTGTACACAAAACCAGACTGTCTCTATGGACATGTCGAAAGATTTGTGGTGAAACTTGGAGTTTAGGTCCCAAACAAATATATTGGATATATGTGATGATCGTCAGACCAATGATCACTTATGGTGCAATTGCCTGGTGGCCGAAGGCTTTACAGAAAATGGCCCAGGCGAAGTTCTCTGGCTTACAGAGACAGGTTTGTCGGGCTATCAGTGGTGCCATCAGTACCACACCGTCAGCGGCCATGGAGATCCTTCTAGATCTACCTCCTCTCCACATTTTTCTGGAGAGAGAAGCTAGATGGACTGCATACAGACTTGTGCACATTGCCAATTGCACAAATCAATTTAATGCAGAGTGCAACAGACTGTTGGCTGACACTGGAAGTCACGGCATTCTGGAAATGACCTCTGACTTTATGCCTCCAACTGTTAACTACGAACTGTCTTATAAAGTACTGTTCCCGAGTAGAGAGGACTGGATCCTCTGGGAGAAGGAAATATTAGGAACAGATAGTTGTTGGTTCACAGATGGATCAAAAACACCTTCCGGTTCTGATGCAGGTGTTTTAAGTCGCAGACCCAGGACAGAGATATCTACCTGCCTAGGAACCTATGCGACTGTATTTCGAACGGAAATTTACGCTATTGAATTGTGTGCAGAGAGATTGGAAGAATCCAACCTCAGACACAAGTCAATAAAAATATTCTCGGACAGTCATGCGGTGTTGGAAGCTCTAGGCTCCTACCGAGCAACGTCTATAAATTGGTAGCAAATTGCCAAAAACGACTCTCCTCGATAGGAAGGCTTAACAGATTGGCCCCGGGCCAAAATCCCGGCCAAAACGGCCCGAAAAGCAATGAGGCTGCTGACTCCCTTGCAAAGGAGGGTGCTGCAAACAGCTTCATCGGACCAGAACCTGTCATGGGCATCGCTTTAGGCTTTGCCAAACAAACATTGAACACCTGGATGGCAAGAAGATTTATGGACTTCTGGCCAGAATTGGATCACTCTAAAGCATTTATTCACCCTTCGAAGCTTGATACCAAACAGTTGTTGGACTACAGTAGGGATGAACTACGATGTCTAAAAGGCCTTCTTACATGTCACTCATTTGAATCCTCATATGCAGAAACTTGGACTGTCAGAAGACAGTGTGTGTCGCCTCTATTTGGAAAATGATGAAACAGCAGAGCATATACTTTGTGCCTGCCCCACTGGGGACCGAATCAGGTTTTTAGAGTTCGGCAAAGCCGAACCAGAAAGACCACTCACCATTCAAACTAATCGGCTTCGTTGAGAGGCTGGGTTTATTTGGTCGAGTGTGAATAGGAGTGAGCCACAATAAACCCTTGCGGGTTGCGGTGGAGGGTCGAATAGACACACTCACTTTAGACCTAATCTAACCTAAGTCTCTCTGTAAACAAGATAAAGGGTCGACTCGGACAAACCGACAAATTAGCTTTAGCCGAACATGCTCTCAACAAAAAAGCACTCACATTATCTAATTCGAAGATACATTGATACTCGATAAAAAATATTACTATCCGAAAGTATATAGAGAGGCAATAGAAATTCAAAAACACAGGGATAATTTTAATAGAAAAGAAGAGGCAATGAATAATAATAAGATCTGGCTACATGTCCTTAGAGGTGCACTAACAAGGTCAGTTAATCTAATTAGGAGAAACAATCCACGTCCACTAATAATAATAAAAAACCAGAGTCAAATTCCCTGCATCGTAGTTACAGTGTTCGGAACGACGGAAACAACAACTCGAGCACAAACTCGGGCACTGTGACCGTTACCACATCGTCTTTGATAATGTATACCGCAGTAGTAGGCGAAACGTCGGGCATAAAAATCTGCAGACCACAGCCAAAATAGCTTTCACATAAATAGGTAGGTATTTCGATAAAATCCAGAGACCGTAGGATTATCGAATTCTTATAAATTGAAGTCATTTGCATAGTAAAATTTCAAAAATTATGATTTTGCACATTATTCAATTCATTAAATTTAGAACACTATGGATATGGACATTGGAAAAAAATTACTTCCGAAATTGAATTGGGAAAGCTTTACAACGAAATTTCGAATCATATCATCTGAGGATTAAAGGGGGTTGAATTCATAAATCGTCCCTTCTTGGACGATTTGTCCCAGAAGAGACATACAAATAAGTCTAGAGTACGTATGTTATAATATTCAATCAAAAGTATCTGTGATCATGATGAGAACCACATTATCAACCAGATCAATCCATAACAAACTTCCAACAAAGTTTCAGGGCTAGATCCACATATGAATTTTATTTTGATGTACAGCGTCATCTATGAAAGTTAAATAAAATCTATTGACGACGTGATGTAAAAGTTTCCATTTCTGCTAATAAGTTCGGTAATAAGTGAACAAGATTCGAAAGATCAATAGAAGTCGCCAGCAGTTTTGATCTTTCGACATTTCGACATTTTTTAAAAAGAAATAACTTTTTTTAGAACGAATGGAAAGACAAGAAGTCGTTTATCTCTCCATGGAAAAGTGGGCAAAAAATTCAAAAATTAAGTTTATGAATGAATGTTTCTATCTAAGAGACTTACGGCAAGAAAAGCAGCATTTATGCCAAATTTTATTCAGTGTTATTTGATCTTCTGCTTCATAAACTCCAGAGCCACATCGAGCACACGTCATATTCACTAATACATTATCAATTCACTATGATTTGGTGCATTTGAATATCCGGGATTAAATTACTCACAAATTTTGAAATGAAATTTTGACATTTTGTAACCTTTCAAATCTCCCGGAAAAGGAGGCGTCATTAACTAAAGCGTCATCTAGCGCTCTAATTTTAAGAACTAATCTGACAGTGAAAATTCAGTGAAAATTTGTCATAACCAAGAAAGTGAAGTGAGACATTTTAAAATAAAACTATAAACTTATTTTCCGGAAAATACTGTGATTTATTGATGTTTTTCGTGTTTAAGTGACCCATTTGAATGTATATAAGGTAAGATATCAAGAAAGTATTTGATTTATTTTAGGATAGGATGGTGTGGGTGTTATGTAGCACCTACTACAAACAAGAACTTATTTTTAGATTTGTATTTATGATAGATGAATGAAATTATGAATATTGTTTTCCAAACATCAATTTCCTTCCTAATATAGTGAAAATTCATTTGCCAAAATCAAATGATCCTATATGGGGTTTTGATTTGTGTGAATAACATTTTGATGTTTGCTGCTACAATGAACCTTATTTACATTTTAATATTATTCTTTGCATTGATATTGTTCTTTTGTGGTAGAACAGTATATTTACAACTACAAGTTTCAGAAGTATGATAAAAGATTGGCCAATGAATGTATTTATTTTTTGAATGTTAGTTACAATATTGACCCTAAAAAACTGAATTTGCAAATTATGTCATTGAGATTGAATTTATTGGCAGAATGTGCCCATTTCATTTCATTCAACTAGGATCACGAATTTTGGGTGTTAGTTAATTCCTTCCACCTTTGCTTTCAGATTCAGACTTCTCATGAAATAAATTCTGTAACAAAACATGGCAAAAATCCAAGATAATATGAATCAAATCATAAAAATGGATATGCTTCCTGATAGTAGGTGAAAAAGTTTTAATAAAAATGTAGTTTTTTGAAGAAACTCCTATATTTTCCGTGAGATACGTAAGAGAAACTTTTGAGACTGTATGAAATACAAAATTCAACGTCCTAAGGAAGACAAATAAAGATAGTACATTTATTATTATTTTTGAATAATTGCTGAATATGGCAGGCCAAGAAGACAAGAAAAAGTTTTATTGTAGAGAATGGGCCTTTCAAAAATTGGCACATTGTCTGGATCAAAGACCTGTTTCAAAAACATGTGGTGCTCTACTGCTAGGAGGCTCAGGATGTGGAAAAACCACCTTTTGTTCAGAGCTTTGTTGGCCCTCACAAGGACCTGCCGGCCGGCAGCAAAGGGCATTGAATAGACGGTTGCTCTGTTACCATTTTTTACAAGGTCATAATGAGAAAAGTTTATCTTTGAGTGAGTTTGTGAGATCATTGGTAACACAGATATTAAATCATTCCACTGAAAGTCATAAGGAGCGTAGTATTAGAAGACGAATGGCTCAGGAGTCTCAAAAGACCGAGGAGGCCAGTAAATCCCTAAGCCCCAAAGTAAATAAAAATGTTCCCTACGAACAGAGCCTTTCAGAAAACAGTCATTTAACTCAAGAAAGTTTGTACAGCAATATTTATTCTGATAATTTACTATCTCCCACTCTTGAATCTAAAAAGTCAGCTGAAACTCCACCAATACCAAGTTTACCTGTAAATCCTCGAACAGTTATTGCAGATGCCTATTTGGAGAAACTAAAGTCTGATCCTGAAATACAGATTGCTCTCAGAGCCAAAAATATTGAAATGAACCCAGACGACTGCCTTAAGAGGGCTTTGTTATTTCCTCTACTTGAAATCGACCCTCCAAAAACTTCACTTTTCATTTTGATAGACTCTATCGATGAACATTCATTTGTGTATTCCAATTCGACTCTCACAAGATCTAAGCCAAGAGAAAGAAGTTCACAGAGTAAAACAATCGCCGAATTACTAGCCAATCATCATCATCTGTTTCCGCAATGGTTATTATTGGTGTGTACAGCCAAAAAACAGTCTAAGAGCATTGCAAAAATGTTCACAGGTTTTAGAAAATTGAGTTTGGATGATTTACGCAAATCTCAAGTTGTGCGTGATGTTCAGCAATATATTCTTGCTAGGTTAGACCAGGAAAATAGCTTAAGGCAGCATATAAGTAGAGATACTGCTGAAATGTTAAATCAGCTACATATTAAAAGTAACGGGTGTTTTTTATATTTAGAGAAAGTGTTAGATGGAGTTTCGGATAATTTCATTGTGCTTCGGGAAGTAAGGGAAATTCCAGGAACACTTAATGGATTGTATTTGTGGTTATGTCAGAGGTTATTCAACCGTAGACAATTTGCCAAAGTTCAACCGCTTTTAAACGTAATTTTGGCAGCAAAATGTGCTCTTAATGAGGCACTCCTCTTTGATATAATAAAAGTATATAATCCGAAAATGACCACCGAGGATTTCAAAAAGAGATTTCATTTGATGAGGAGAGTAGTAGTTATTTCTAAAGGTGGAGCAATAAGATTATTTCATCACTCATTTGCTGAATGGTTGTTGGACATAAAGCACTGTACACAAAAATATTTATGCAATATATTCCATGGACATTGTATTTTGGCAATGTACTATACCTTGCATGCGAAGCTGTTGAACAATCAAGAGATTTATGATTACGCATTTCACTTGACAAGAATGGAGCAATATTTAAATGATAAACCTTCACAGAAATGCCCCACATTAATGTACAAGTTATCACAGGAAAGAAATAATTGTTTATCCCAAGGTGAGAATAGCCTGGAAAAAACTTCTACTGAAATATATTCAGATTTGAAAGCTTTGCAAGAGCTCACTAGAAACTATGAAAAAGAACTCAGTTTGGAAATGGAAAATTTGGAGACCAGTTTTGTAGATACAGAAAATAGCCAAAATAACTTGGATGATTGCCCATACAATCTTGATATAGGTTTACCAAGAGTAGAGGCAAAAGTTGAAAACATCAATATCAAAAGTCCAGTCTCAGAAAGAAATCCTATTTATGCCGAAATAAACAAAAACAAAAAGGGGAAACCAATAAAAGGTCTGGATATGGCCCAAAGTATGGAAAACAATGCTTTACAGAATGACCTGAACTCTTCAAACTGTGCTAGTATCCAAGACCCTACCAATGACACAATTTTGGATGTTCATACTTTAACAGTTTTGTGGCTGATCAATAGTGGCTGTAATGTGGAAGAGTGTCTACTTGAAGGCAACGAAATGGCAGGAGTTAATTTTGGGGCCTTTTTGCCAACTGATCAAAAGGTTCTCAAACTTCTTTTAGAGGCAGGTGCCGTAGAACAAATCGATTCAGATGGGTGTGATTATGAGAGTCAGGTAAATATATTTTTTTATTTCAATAATTCTAGTTTTATTGATTACAAAATTGAGATTGCCATCAAACAACCAAGAAATTTTAAGATAATGGCATGAGTTTCAATATTGAAATTTAATAAACCCAAAAACGTTTTTACTCTTATACTGCTAAAATTTTATTGCTATTCATCGCCAATTATTCAGAGACTGATGGAGTTTCTGAATTAAAATGATAGTTGCTAAAGATATATTGACTGTAAATTTTCGATTTTTATCTCTAGAATTTTTGTATCTAGGTGCAGTTTCCCAAAAAAATTGCTGTTAAAATAATACCTTGTTTTTAATATTATTTTGAATACTTCACATATGATTTCATTAACTAATAATATTGCGTAATGAGGTGAATGAAGCTTTCTGTTGCTGAAATTTTATGTATATTTTCATTTTCATTTCTGTCTAAGCCAATATTAGACTCTGTCCATCTAAGCAAAAGAGTGCTCCAAAACATTTTCATGCATAGTGCACATGATCTCCCAGATGAGGCTGCAAGTTCCACTGAACTACTGCGTCAGTTTTCTTTTTTGCTGTCCTCATGATCAAAGTTTAAAAGGTAAACATTGTGACAAGAAAGTCAATATTGTCTCATGATTTAAATTGTTTCACTCTTCTTGATTGATGGTCGTACAATAAAATGAGTAAAGTATCAGGTATATTGTTTTAATTTATCACTAGCAATAAATTAATTGATTTCGCAGTTAATTTCTGCTTGAGAATATCTGTGAGATGTAATAATTATTCATTCACATCAATTGTGATTAAATGAAGTTATAGTATACTATTAATTGATATATAACCATAATAAGCCTTGTTCAAACTTAGACACTTAAATAATTTCTTGCTTTCATTTGTTTCTGTCAAATATTCAATTCATTCTTCATTTCTCATCTCAGCAAAGACTCATCTCAATGGATAGAAGGAAAGGTGCCTCTTTATGAAGAATTAATACCTGTACAAATATTTACATCTAATAAATTCCATGAATGAACATCCATCACTCAGTCAATTTTATTAGCAGTCACAGGAATTTTATGTGTCATTTCATCTAGTGTTGATGTATTGAAACACTTTATAGCATTTATCTGCATATCTTAATGTTCTATAAATACTTTGCAAACTTGTGCATATACGGTTTTTTGTGGATAGTTTTCATAACAATGTACATTTCTGCCTGCCAGATGTCATTAGCAAGTACTTCCAGTGAGCAGAGTCCTGAACCTTTGTTTGATGTTCATGATACACATGGTCAAGCTGCCCTACATGTGGCTGCCAGACTAGGACAGGCCCAGGTAGTAAAGGTAATTGAAAGGATTGTTTGAAATATACAGAGAGTTTGATTTACAATAAGCAATATTTTCCAGAAACGTTGCATAAACTGAAAAGTGGTGATTCAGTTATTTTCTGAGTTAAATTGAAAAACAACAGAATACTTATTCTTTGACAGTTACAACATTAACATAATTTCAATATTTTTTTGGAATATGATTTCACTCCAATGTGACGAATTTGGTTTTCCTTGACTATTTGTCGTGACAGGTATTACGTTTCATTAGAAGTCCATTTTTCCATTAAAATTTCTATAATAAAACTCGTAAATAAACAAAAATTTGAACATAAAATAAAGCAAAGGAGCAAGCAATTCTGGTATTATGAAGTAATTGATATCCTTATGAAAACCTACCGTTGTGGAACTCTTATCATTTAATGTATAGAATATTTCAATAAATTGTTCCAAGATTCACAATTTCATTTCATCCAATTTCTTTGTTTTTTCATTAGGTTATGATGAATAAATTCATGTAATTGAAATTTGCTGACATCACTTCCACATTTGATTGAATTGTTTTTTTTTCAACCTGTTCATTAACAGTTTTTCTGCTTAACGTTGGTAAAGTTTTTATAGAAAAGTAAGCAGTGTTATGATTGGTAATAATGAATTAGTCTGCTAAGAGGGTTTTTCTTTTGAAAAAATAATTTTCATTTATACAAATTGTTTATTTAATCAAGATATGAATATATCCAGTGACTACTGAACCAAACAACCTCACCTTTTAGTGAAGAATTGCTTTTATTTTTGAAATCACTAAAAAATAACCTGGTGTATCACAAGGAATTTTGGGTCAATATTAATCTTGCCGGTTTTCTCTTCCTTTTTCTCTTAAAGAAGAAAAAGTGCTATATAAACGTGTGTTTTAGCATAACTTATTGATGATGTATGTGCATTTTTTCCTTGTTCCAACTATATATTTTTTTCTGTTATAAACCGGATTATTGGTTGGTTTTATTTGGATCTTATAAATAAGATGCATTAGAAACTGGAAGTTCAATAATTTATTAATTTGTCTCTCAACGGTTACACAATTTGTACATTTTATAATCATATTGAAATTAACTAACTGCTTGATAATGGGAAATCATGGACTTCATGTTGATGATGGCCACTAACTTGCACTAACGAGTGGCCAAACAGCCCGAAACCGGTCTGCAAGTGTGTTCCAATAGTTGAAAATCGATTCTAACAGTTATATCGCCAACAGTATATGCAGGAATTACTTCTGCAAAGAATCTTGCACTGACAACTATCTGATTCCTAATACTAATCTTTTTTTTATTTATTTTCAAAATTTCCTATTCAGGTATTAAATTTTTTCAGGTTCTTTTAGAAGCAGGAGCAAATGCTGATCAGGCAGATGTAGATGGGTGGACTCCCTTAAGGGCGGCTGCTTGGGGGGGACATACAGAGGTAAAATCATTTTTTATATCGAATGAATTGAGTTTTTCCTAAAATGCCTGGAGCTAGTGATATTTCTGAAAAATCTAATCAAATAATGATAATCGTGACGCTGAACTTATCTCTTAAATATTAGAACTCCTATGAAAAACTGTTTCAAATCAAACCAAATTAGTTACAAATCATATTTATCTAACAATATACAGGTCTCGAAAGCTGCTCAGTGATTTTGAGTGAATATTTCTAATTATTTATTNATACAATGGCTTTTTCAGGCGTGTCTTTACTCAAGCCCGAAGAAGCCATTGTATGGCGAAACACAACAAATTTATACAAGTCAAAAAATCTATTAAAACTTCCCATGGCCTCTGATTCTTGGGAATGCATTTGAAAAAAGTTATATCTATTTATCATTTTCAAAATCTCAGGTTAAAATCTCGTTGTGAAATAGGTCAACAGTAGGTAGAATAAAATGAAGTTACATTTGAATTCTGTCCTCTGTTTTTTCACATCATTTCGAAATCACGATTTTCAAGTAATTGAAAATCGGAACTTGGATACTTCTATAGTATTGTTTTTATTACAGAGATGTCTGTGAACTTCTACTGGAAAATGAAGCAGACGTCGATCATTGTGACAACGGTGGAAGAAGTCCTTTGTGGGCTGCAGCTAGTATGGGACATGCTCCAGTTGTGGCCCTTTTACTGTTTTGGGGTTGCTGCATTGATTCAATGGATTCTGAAGGACGCACTGTATTGTCTGTAGCTGCAGCTCAAGGTTCAACTGCTATATGTTGATTATGATGCAAATATTTCAAATTTGAATTTTTCAGGGTGTGTTGAAGTTGTGAGGCAATTGTTGGATAGGGGCTTGGATGAACAGCACCGAGACAATTCAGGATGGACACCTCTTCATTATGCAGCATTTGAGGGTTTGTCATCAAATTATTTTGGGAGTTTGTTTTCTGAATTAGTCCCTAGTTATTTGAAATGATGAAACTCAACCAAAACTTGTTCATTCCCATTAAAGTTCTGGTCTTGACAAACTTATTGACTAGAGGAGCCACCAACTATTTCCTTGAATATTTAGCCAAGCATTCAACTTTCTCTAAGCAATTCATTACTTGTGATGCACTGTATGAACACCAAACCATTATTTTAACACCTCGACACGTGTTTCGACCACCAAGTGATCATTTTCAAGAGGAAGATCAAACCAATCATACTTACAAAGATATCCCTATTTATACCATAGAAACTTGTTTCTGGTACCTGCGTCTTGAGCCGTATTACTTGGGGGGGACATACAGAGGTAAAATCATTTTTTATATCGAATGAATTGAGTTTTTCCTAAAATGCCTGGAGCTAGTGATATTTCTGAAAAATCTAATCAAATAATGATAATCGTGACGCTGAACTTATCTCTTAAATATTAGAACTCCTATGAAAAACTGTTTCAAATCAAACCAAATTAGTTACAAATCATATTTATCTAACAATATACAGGTCTCGAAAGCTGCTCAGTGATTTTGAGTGAATATTTCTAATTATTTATTTCTTTCCATGATTTCTTCAGTTACAAAATGTATGTTACTAGGTGGTGGAGATACTTGTTAAACATGGATGTTCCTTGGACAGTGTTGATGCAGAAAATCGTACAGCTCTGAGAGCGGCAGCTTGGTCAGGCCATGAAGAAATTGTAAAAATACTCCTACAGAATGGTTCAAATGTCAACCTCACCGATCATGAAGGCAGAACAGCATTAATCGCAGCTGCTTACATGGGTCATTCTGAAATTGTTGAACATCTGCTTAACTATAGTGCCGACATAAACCATGCAGATGCCGACGGAAGAACTGCATTGTCTGTTGCTGCACTTTGTGCACCAAGAAGTCCGGGTGTTAACGTAGTTTCAACTTTGTTAGAAAGAGGTGCTACAGTTGACCATAAGGATAAGGAAGGAATGACGCCTCTTTTGGTTGCTTCTTTTGAGGGACACAGGTAATGTTTTATAGTGCAATAGTTTCTTGGGATTTTTTTTTTGTTTTCTGCTTCTTTATCGCTAAATAAAAAAATGTGTAAAAGTAATCGCTTCCTTTTCAATTTAAATACAATAGTTTCATAACGAAGATTGTCAACTTTGAAACCATTCATTTTAGGAAAAAGTATTATCAAAGCTACTACAAAATGATGAATTTTCATTTATTATAATGAAATCATTGATTTATTGATCTATTGTTATCAAAAAAAATTCAAAAGCAATACAATCAATGCAATGAGTAATTGATATTATAATTATTTGTGTCACACTCTGAATAAATGCTGAGATAATTTTATCTACATTTTCAGATCATAATAGATTAGGTACATTCTCCTTTTACGTTTAAGGGCTTGCCAGGGCTAGATGTAAGTTCTTTGGTGTTTCATTCTAGTGGCAGAATTCACTGCCACTAGAATGAATCAAGTATTTGAAAATTTTTTTTTTTCGTTATATTTTATCTGAGGACATACACTTGTAGTGAGAATATGACTTTGTTTTATATCATCTGAAAAATCGCTACTTTGAAAATGTATAATAATAATAATATGCTTTATTATCATTGACAAAGCTCAAATTTTCATCAGTCACCATTCAAGTACAAATCATATTAAAACATCCAAACACATACAATACATATGGATACTGAAGATAGATATTTCACTGTAAAGAAACAATACCAGAAAAGTTTATAATATTAAAAATGCAGTATACTATACTTTGTCTATATATTAAAAATACTGATGAAATGTATATTTAATTTCCAAATGTTTTTGATTTTAAGGAAGCTATCTATATAAAAAAGTTCTAACTCATTTACTTCATGACTAATCACACTCAATAAAAGTTGGGTCACTTTGCAGTTTGGAATGACATGCTCCTTCATAAACAAAATTTTAAAACACGTGACAGGAATAATTTCATGTTGAAGTTTTGCCCTTGCGAAAACGAAGGCAAGATTTCAGTTGTAGCTCAGTATTATTCTTCACACATTTATGATGGTTTAACTTGAAATGAAGGCATTTATAGGTTTGAGCTTACTCTTCCACAAATATTAGTATTAATATGAATGTCAGGACAGACAATTCCACTTTCTGCTTCGATAAGTTTGCTGGGAGTTAAAATGAACACCAATATGTCTTGGCACAATCATGTCGCTGGAATTGAAAAGGCGGCTTCTCAACAAAAGCTTGGAGCACTCTTCTGAACCAGAAAACTGTGCACACCTCAGCAACTTTTGATGCTTTATAAGGCTCAGATCAGACCTTCTTTGGAATATTCTTCTCATTTATGAAGCCTAAGCATACGCTGAAACTGCTGGATTCCATCCAGAAAAGAGTCATTCACATGATTGAAGACGCGAACATCACTTGAAACCATGATAGTCTGACTTGACTTGACTTGAAACATTTGATTCCACCAAGAGTGGTTCATATCAGAAATATGCGACAGACTGTGGCTGCCCATCGTTTTGAGGTTCAACTCAGTACACCTCGAACTCCACTGTTTAAGAGATGTTTCATTTGAAGAACTGCGTTTATGTGGAATAAACTTCCTGAGAACGTTTTTACAAATGTATTTAAACTCCAGCGATTCAAATCCAACGAGAATCACTACTTTCGCACAGGCACCGATCTTAGAGTGCCTTAAGGATTTTCCTGTAGTGCTTGTGTTTCGTCCTTTAAAAAACGTTGTGAAATAAGATGTTATTGTTATTAAAATATTTTGTTGTAGACTAATTTAGAATAGCACTTTCCAATTTGTTTCTTACTGTACTTTACTTTGATTCATTCTTTGAATGGTTTAGAGGTTCAAGAACCTGAAAATTTGACATTTCAGGTCATCAAGATGTCTGTGAGGCTTTGTTAGAAGCAGGAGCGAGAGTAGATGAGACTGACAATGAAGGCAAAGCACCCTTAGCACTTGCAGCTCAAGGAGGTCACACGCCTTTAGTTAACTTGTTCATAGACAAGTATAGTGCGCCCATAGATCAAAGGCCCCATGATGGGAAAACAGCTTTGAGGTAGAATTAGACAATGTTAACCAAATTACATTTATGGTGTGATGTCATTTCAGGTTGGCTGCCCTGGAAGGACATTACGATATCGTACAAATTTTAGTGTCAAACGGAGGTGACATTGATTCCAAGGATGCCGACGGAAGAAGTACTTTGTATGTTCTCTCACTTGATAATCGGTTAGCAATGTCGAAATATTTTCTACAACAAGGAGCGGACGTTGAAACAAGAGACTTGGAGGTGAGTTTGATATAATTTGACCCCACATATTCCATGTCTTACTTCTAAATCAACAGAGAATCTGCTCAAGTTTGATACCTAATGAATAAATTCATATTTCAGAAAAGTGCTAAATTATTGAATCATATGACAGTGGTATTGCTTAATTATTTCAATAATCAACAAGACTTTATATTTCTTAGGGTCGCACTCCTTTACATGTTTCTTCTTGGCAAGGTCATACAGAGATGGTTACTTTACTATTAACATTTGGCAAAGCACAAGTAGATGCTTGCGATCTAGAAAATAGGACCGCCCTTCATTCGGCTAGTTGGCAAGGGCACAACGATATTGTCAAAATGCTTCTCGAACATGGAGCCATGCCGGATCATACATGTAATCAAGGCGCAACAGCTTTAGGTAATACTATTCAGTACTTACAAAATGGTTAGGTTATGTAATTTACCTATCAACATTTTTCTTCAGGTATAGCCGCACAAGAGGGCCACGAGCTTTGTGTGGTTGCTCTTTTAGAACACGGAGCAGACCCAAATCACTCTGATGCTTGTGGAAGGAATGCCTTGAGAGTGGCTGCTAAATCTGGGCATAGGGGGGTGGTAAGACTGTTAGAAGAATACAATGCAAGGTCTCAGAAAGTGGCTCACACAAGTAGTAGTGCTAATTCAATCACTTCAGGTGAGTATAGTGTTCAGAGAATTACTGATCATTCGGTAAAAATTAGTTACAATATTTCATATGTATCATATATCATTGATTTTCAGCATCAACTGCTGAAACAAAACCTTCTTGTGCCATCTTGTATCCGTCAGGGGGTACAGGGGAATGGTCCGATCAACAAAGAAGGTCAATGGTGTCTTTGGGCAATCACAGCTCCAATTCAAAATCTAGTTCCAACTTGACAGGTTCTAGTCAGTCTAGTAGACATGGCGACCGTCAGAGAGAAAGTACGCAAAATATTCAAGTAAGTATTTCATCAATATCTAGGAAAATAAATGGCTAAGGGAAAATGTGTTTGATTACTTTCAGCCTATGTCTTTTACACAACAACTTCAACAATGTACACGAGGTGGAAAGACGAGGCCGTTGAGTAAATTATTATCGCCTCTGCAAAGTGAACCGCAGAGTCCTATCTATGCATCCCCTCCTCTGAGTCCAGTGAATGATGCGCCTAATATGTTTGGTAAGTGGAATTTCTCATTCAACTGGCCCACCTAATTGATTATTAAAAATTTTCAGGTGCTATGAATATTTACCAGCCAGTTTTGAGGCATAATAACTTCGCAAAGGCTCCAGATACACACTTCGCACGTGATACTCACATGAGAATAATCCTGGGAAACTCTAGCAGTTCTCCATTCGGTAAGGAAAAGAAATCTGACCAGGCTATTGAAAATCCTAGTTCGAAATCCAGGTAAACACATGTGTAGCATCGCGTGAGAAATTTTTTTGATCGATAATTTTTAGTAATCAAAAAACCAAAAGAAACGGAATAGTCACAAATCCTGCCCTTCGTTTGGTTGCCAATGTCAAAAATGGGTTGGACACAGCTGCAGCAAATTTAAGAAAATCTGCATCTGGAGGTAATCCTGCTTCCAAAACAAACAGCTTTCATTGGCGTAAAGAAACGCCTTTATAAAATGAAGGAGAAAAAACTGGAATAAACTAGTCAATAATATGGTAGGTGGGTATTTTTTTTCAGGGTCATTATACTTGTTATATAGTATTATACAGAAACTTCCTTAAGTACTGTCATTAATCTCTGAGGGCCAATTTTATGATATTTTGTGAAAATAAGTTTCTATAAACATATTCAAAATTCCCTATTATTTTCTAAGAAGGTATCGGTGAATTAAAGAAGGATACTTCTACTTCATGAAAGGACTTACATGTAGAACTTTATAAAGTTGAAGCAAACAACTTCGAGTTAGAGAAACTAACAAGCTGATAATTGAATGTCCTCTGATGTCTGTGTATTGGTGAGCATAATAATCGAGGCTAGTTATAGCAATAGTCGTGAACTACCAACTGAAATCTAAAATTATCTCCACTATTAAAACGCCGGGCAAGGAGCTGCACAAGAACAACCTTTTTGTGTCAAAAGAGTATCACAAAGAGGACTAGGGAAAAAAGGAACTCATTTCCCAAAATATGAAGGCAGCTAAATCTAAATTTGAAGTTTTCAAAACCGCAGACCACCAAAAACATTTATATGATTACCTGGAAAACCACTCAGTTTCTATTCAGGGCAGTACCATTTTGACTTATTATAACAGAATAAATAGTATATCTGAAAGGAGAAGGAAACGTTTCAATCTCTAACAAAAAAATGCTACCATAAAGAAAATTAATACTGGATCTCAAGAAAGGAAATAATATTCAACTAAGTTTCTTTCTATGTTATGTTCGTAGTTTAAATTTTGCTTAAATTTCTACTTCTAAACGAGGTAGGTGAGGTAAGTATCATGGGCCTTTGTGAAACTTGGTCACAACCCCCATGAATCCTTTTCTTCATGAAATAAGAAGGCTAAAATCAGTGACAGTACTTAAGAAACACTCTGTACTTGAATCTTTTCAAAATAACAGAATGTATTTTTCAGGTTTAAACTACACTGAGAAAATGAACAATGCTAATGTAACAACACTCACCTAGTCTTAAATATATCAAAGAAATAATTTTTAATAGACTTTAATTTATCACATAGGTTCTTTATTTGATACTTCTGACTGAATTGCTCTTCTTTTCAATATTTTTGGCCTAAGTTGATTTCAACGATTTTTGTAGAATATTCTCAAGTAATATATTGACTTTTGTGATAGCTGAGTGGTAAATATGAGTATTTTGTAAATGATTTGAATGATATTGATCAGTCTTTTCATAGTGTTCTAACTTTTTAATAATTGGGTTTATATACCAGGTGGTATCTTTGGAGGAATTTTGATTTAAGTTTCATCATATTCATACTAATCGTCTTATGATTGTTGTACATTTTGGGTCTTATAATTATCGATCCATCTGGTATGTGCTCCATTGAAATTTTCAAATGCAATAAAACGTAAATAGATTTTTTGTATCAGTTCGTAAAAATTATATTCAAAAGTATATTATATTTCTCTTTTTGTAAAAGTTTTTCAGGTATTTTCAAAAAATCTCTTTAAATTGATCTCATTAAAAAATATTTTTGTATTTCTCAATATTAGTTAAGAAAAAGTTGTTTTCAGGGCACTGCAAATAGATGGTGTCAATTATTCAGAATAATTTAGAATACAATTAACTTTGTACATTTTTTTATTTATTGAAGCTACATGTTCTTATCTAAATTTTTATCTAAATGATCTCTATTCACAGAACCGGGATGTTTAGGTAAAACGTTAGCTTAGAGCCACACCTGTATATCAATATTATATGCCTTTTGTATTTATATAAAGCTTTAGTTTTATACAGTTTTAAACTTGTGCACTGTATATGTTGAAACAGTATTAAATACAAATATTGAAATAGGATCATACATGTAATCAAGGCGCAACAGCTTTAGGTAATACTATTCAGTACTTACAAAATGGTTAGGTTATGTATAAAATAAATCAATTATGCATTCATGCCACCCACCAAAAATAAGAAATTCAACGTTATATATTAGCCATATTGCCACCCAGTCGGCTATCTCCCTTGAATGTTTGAGTCAATGTAATCTGTAATATTTCTAATGTTTCATAACTTCGTATTTTTGTTAAAATAATTGACACTTGGCAACACCGCTGTAGACACGATCAATTTTATTGGTCAATAGACACGCGGTCAATTTAAACTCTTGCATCTCGAATTTTTCTTTTTTCTGCAAATATAAAAAGGTATTGGAACCGATTAGGCTCGATAAGTATAATATACCCCTAACTCGATCAGTCTATAAGCAAACCAGTATCATATTCAATAGCATGAAACAAGCCCAGTAGAACTAAGGTATTAGTGGACAACATCGTCGATGAATCCGTTTTGGTACTAGACATCAGGGATCTGGTGGCTTGAGCACAGTATTGATAGAGCCATGCAATGGCTCTGAAGTATGAATGTTCGTGGCCAGATCTCTCATAAACTAGAAACTAGACCATTCCAGTAAGAATAATCAACCCTAATTATAACAGGGTAACTCTCAAGAAAAGGCAAGTAATAAGAACCTGCGAACCAATTGTGAAAATTGTTAAAATCAAGGATGTAATCTCTCTGCAGCATGCTTATCAACCCTCGAAGGAACTCATTGTCTTCTCCAGGAAGACGTGGAGCCATATGTCTGAAGAAGAACTATGCAAGACCACCTGTAGATATGTTTGTGAAAGGCAACATCATTGGCCGAACGGATTTAGTTCAACATCGGATTTATACTGGTGATGTCAGACCTATGCGTCAATAACCGAGATGACTGCCCTTTGCAAAGCAGGACGAAGATTCTTCCAACGTTTAGAAACTGTTGGAGGAAGGAGTGATCGAATAATTAAGCAGCCCCTGGAGTTTTGGAAACATATTGTGGATTTATACAGCATCTGAATGGTTAAGAAGTTGAAAAAGACTTAGTGATGCAAAAATAGTGTTTATTCAACTCAACTCATTTAAGCAAAAACAGGTGGAGTTGGCCGCGGTGGTAATGCGCCCAACTCACGATCGGAAGACCGTGGGTTCGATTCCCGCCTCGACCAGATATTTTTCTCGAGAGAATTTATCTGGTTGAAGCTGGAATGATTCTGCAACCGTGTTAGGAATCACACGTTAAAAGGTAAGACCTCGTTAGTCCTTAGCTCGCACAAGTTTCTCAACTTCTGAGAGTTGTTGTTCGTATGGGGGCGACAGCTGATTAACGGAAAAACAGATTTCAAATGTTTTAAATTTGCAAGTCCTCATCTTCTATAATATTTAACTCATCTGGAACAACATTTGCGTCAGAATTATTATCATCATCTGGAATAGTAGTAAGAACATGTTCATAAAATGACAAATCAGGATCATGTTTTTTCAAAAGTGCATCTACATCGGAAAGCTTTTCTTTTTTGACCTGCACTTTATTCTCAAGGAGCTCTGGAATCTTAGCTTTATTTATAAACCGCAAACACACCAAATCACAACAAGACTGCTTCACGTTCTAACAACTACTGACAAAAATCGTATGTGTACGTAAACAGTAAATAAACCGTGCACATACGAACAAGATCAAACAAGTTTTGAAACCGTAGCATGCAATGAATAACATAATACTACTGGATCTACGCACCTTTGAAACAGCAATCACGGCAGTGGATTCACACACTTTTGTAACAGTGTTTATGAAGAATGTAGCTAGTTTTGGAAACGTACTATTTTTTTTAATATCATAGTATTACTGGAAATCAGATTTGGCCCACTCCAATTATATAGGCATGTGTCAAAGCTGTCGAAGAAGGTATTGTCGCCATTTTCTTAATTTTAATGAAACATGGATCTAATTAGTTATGGAAACGCACGCCTCATCTTTATCAATTAAAGTAATATTTTTGAGCTACATAGAATTCAACTTAATATGTGCTTATTTTATTTCAAGTTGCCTAGTCAATCTGTTTTACAAGTACCTACAACTGATATGGTTTTATTAGTTTCTCATCTACCCTGTGTTTGTGTTTGTGCGCGCTTGCGCTGTTTTGTTTTGTTGAAACAAGCGCGAGCGAGTATCGAAATCGGGGGTGCGGACGTGTGAGCGGGAGAAAGCAGACTGTCTTTCATTTGTTTTGTGATTTTTCGCGTTTTCATAGTATTTCAAGAGCTGCGATGCAAAATTTTATGGACAGACAAAAAGATTTATTAAAGTAAGATATAAGGAACACAACACACTTAAAATAT